CGGGGGCAGCCGGGAGCCCGTTCCCTGGCAACGGGGTCGACGGGGCCAGGGAAGCGGACTCCGCCGCGGGCTAGAGCGGCCGAGTCGCAAGCGTCGGCGGCCGGGGCGTGGCGGACGTGACGCAGCGCTTCCGGCGGCCGTGGGCGGGACTTCGAGTCTCCTTCCTGGGATTCGCCGGCCGTATGGAAGGTGCGTGAGAGGGTTCGGTGTCCCGGGGCGTGCCGGTTCAGGATGTGGCTCCCTCACCTGAGGGCTAGCCGGAAGAACGGGAGCCCCGGGTTCGATGCTATCGCGCCTTGTCCAGCCCAGCCTGCTGGCGCCGCGTGAACTCTGCAGTCGGCCCGGGCGCCAATCTGTGTGGTGTACACAGTGTGTCAACAATCTGACACTCAAATTGTAATTCCTTTTTTTTTTTTTTTTTTTTTGGTCTTTTTGAGACAGGGTCTCGCTATGGAGTTCAGATTGGGCTTGAGCTCACTTTGTAGCCCAGGCTGGCCTCGAACTTGCAGTGATCCTCCTGCTGGGATTACAGGCGTGCGCCACCACACCCGGCTGTAATTCCTTTTTGAGACAAGGACTTGCAAAGTCACTAAATCACCCAGTCTGGGCTCGAATTTGCGATCCTTCTGCCTCAGCCTCTCAGAGTTTGGGATTAGATGTGCGTCACTATGCCTGGCTTCAGATCGTAGTGATGGTCGTGATGAAGTAGCATAAGGGAGCAGTTGGTGCCAAGCTTTGCATGTCCAGGCCCTCCAGAACAATCATGCCATTTAACAAGCTTTATTGAGCACCTGGTACGTGCAGCGGGCATGAGAGGAGTCGGGGCCGCAGTCCCTACCCTGGTGCAACCTGCAGTCCTGCGGGGGGCACAGACGTTAAACAGGCAGACACATGGCTGGTGAATGTCATGGTAGCAGAAGCGCAGGGTGTCTCAGGTCCCCGATACAGAGTCCAAACCCTACCGGGATCCAGGGAGACTCTACAGCAGTGAGAACTGATTGCAAGGCCCAGAGGTTCATCTGCACTGGAGATGGAGGGGTAGCCAGGTCCCGAAGGAGCTCCTGAGTCCTGAGCCGGCAGCAGCAGCCTGGTCAGGAACCCCTCTGTGTTCTCTGTGTTTTGGAGTGATGAGCTCATGAGCTGCAAAGCTCTCATTTAAGGCCTCAGTGCATGACACTGGAGCTGAATGTGATGGTTCATACTTGTCATCCCAGTGCTTGGGAGGCTGAGGCAGGAGTATCACCTTGAGTTTGAGGCCAGCCTCGGCTACATGGTGAGAACCTATCTCAAAAAATCAAAAGCAGAAAAAAAGGCCCTGGGACTGGCCAGTGTATAGTGGGAATGACAAGGAGTCAGGGCTGGAGTGTCCTACAGGAAAGGGAATGGGAGCAATTGAGCTTTGGCAGAAAGTTACAACTTTACCTTATTTCCATCCTTAGGAAGTAGTCAGAATGCTTAAGGTGAAGACTTGTGGAGTCATTGAGCCGGAAAAGAATTCAGCTGTATCTGAATCTTAAATAAATACTCTTTTTAAAACGTTGCCAGGCATGGTGGCACACACTTGCAATGCCAGCACTCCTGAAGCTGAGGCGGGAGGATCACCTGCCTCGTGAACTCATGTTCAAGGCCAGCCCGGGCTACGTGTTGAGGCCTTGTCTCCAAAAAAATTTAATTAATTAATAATAAAAATTAACAATTGTCTTCATCTAGTTTCAGGAACCTCCATACAGGCCCAGATTGTGTGCAGCTGATGCAAGCATTTCCGACTTCCAGTTGAAAGGGCATCTGCCCTCTGGCTCTGCTGTGTGCTCCATAACAATCCTATTTCTCTTATTCCCTCTCAGCAAAGCCTCTCGGAGCTGCAGCACCCCGAAAGCCTGTCTTATCAGTCAGTGCCAGAAAAATTAAGGACAACGCCGCCGACTGGCACAATCTAATCCTGAAGTGGGAAGCCCTGAATGACGCGGGTTTCGCCACTGCAAACAGCATCGCCAACCTGAAAATCAGCTTACTGTAAGTCGCTTTGAGGCCTCCAGCTCTGAGCTTCCTCTCCGTGATGAGGCTCAAGCCTCGTGGGAGGCTTTTAGGGTGAGGATTTAACAATGTTAAGGAATTTGAAAGTAAAACAGCAAGCAAAAAAAGGTGGTAAAATGATATACAGGAGTATGAACTGTGTACATTTTAAATACAAAACCATGCTCCATATTATTCACGGTTACAGTAGTGTGGACAGTTACACAATAGATCGGAAGGACACAGGCTCCACCATGACACTGGTGTCTCCCAAGAGGGACAGGTGTCGGAGTGGCAGGTGATGGGACTTTATGTTCATATTGTTGCACGTTGCAGTATTTCTTTTTTAAATTTTATTTTTATTTTTATTTTGCTTTTTGAAACTAGGTCTCACTGTGTTGCCTAGGCTAGTCCTGAACTCCTGAGCTCCTATGATCCTCCTGCCTCAGCCTCCCTAGTACCTTAGAGTACCAGTGTATGCCACAGCATCCAGATCACTTTGTTTCTTATAAAAGAGAAAGGAGTTAGGAAAAACACTGTTAGGAGCTATCGGGTCTGAATGAGGCCTTGCCTTATTACCTCTGCATTTTCCTGTATGTGCTTGTGTGTATAAGCTCCTTGAAGCCACAGTTCTAACACACAGACCCGCGGCTTGCCTGTCCACCGCTGCCAAATCCTTCACCTCATCCCTGGCCTCAGCATTGCCCCCCGGAATCCCCTCCAGCACAGCTGCCTGTCTGTGCAATCCTGCTCAGCAAGTTCACAAACAGCCTCTGCCCTTCCTACTTAACTGTCTTCTGATATTTTCTGTTCTCTTCTATCTTGGTTTTTTGTTTTAGATAAGGGCTCATTGTATACTCCAGGCCAGCCTTCAGCTCACTAAGTAATCCAGCCTGGCCTCAGACTTGTGGCGATCCTTGTGTCTCAGCCTCCCAAGTGGTGGGGTTATAGACTCACTCTTTCTTTCGTTCGTTCGTTCGTTCTTTCTTTCTTTCTTTCTTTCTTTCTTTCTTTTTCCTCCTTCCTTCTTTCCCTCTTCCCTTTCTTTTTTTTTCTTAATTTAAACTTGCTATTTTTTCCCCATAATGTTAGGATGATAACCACCGCAAAGTACAGGTGTCTAGAGTCAGAAAAATTTAGAACATTTCACGAATTTGCGTGTCATCTTTGCTTAGGGGTCATGCTAATCTTCTCTGTATCGTTCCAATTTTAGTATATGTGCTACCGAAGCAAGCACCTTCGTCCCTTTTTTTTTTTTTTTTTTTTTTTTTTTTTTTTTTTTTTTTTTTTTTGAGACAGGGATCACAGGGATCTCCCCATGTGGTTTAGGTTGGCTTCAAACTCAAATCAATCCTCCTGCCTCAGTCTCCCTCATGATCCCTGCCTCTACTCTCTTTTTTTTCTTTGTCTTTTTGAGACAGGGTCTCCCTATGCAGTTCAGGCTGGCCTTGAGCTCACTTTGTAGCCCAGGCTGGCCTTGAACTCGCAGAAATCCTCCTGCCTCAGTTCCCCAAGTGCTAGAATTACAGGCATGTGCCATCATGCCATGCCTGGCTCTACTCTATTTTCATACTTAATGTTTTTCTTATGTATTAATTGTGACCCCACTAGATTACTTCAGGCTTGAGGGCATGTTAGCCTCCCATTACCGTCACGCACCTGCCACAGGCCAGCTGTAAGAGGAAAGGGTTGTGTGGCTCCTGTTCTTAGAGGCATCAGTCCATGGCCGCACTGCTTCTGACCTTGGGGCCAGGCCGCGTTTCCGGGCGGCCTCCGCAGGGAAGAAACGCAGTCATCTCCTGGCCAGAACGACAGGAGGAAGAGCAGTATTCCCTAGGCCCAGCCCCTTAAGGGTTCCAACCTCTAGGTCTTGGCAAAGGGTCATGGCTTTCAGCTTCAAAACATTCACAGAGCGGGAATTCCCTGAAGAGCTGAACTGCATCTTACTCATCTTTGTGCACCCAGCACCAACCTTATGCCAAGGATGCTAGCTAGGTGCATAAGTTCAGCTGACTCGTTCTAGTGCAAGCTTGAGTGACCAGCATGCAGTGTGGCTCAGTGTTCAAGCACTAGCTGACATGTTTAAGGCCCTGTGTTTAATCCACTGTACCCTCAGGAGGCTGAGGCAGGAGAACTGCCCCAAGTTCAAGGCCAGCCTTAACTATAGAGTGACACCTTGTCTCAAAAAACAGAAAAATCCCCAGTACCATAAAAAATGTTTTTGCATGACCAGTGGACACATTCATTATATATGTAAATAATAGCTAAACTTGCGCTGTAGTGGCACAAAACAGCAACATCAATGCCAGATGCCCGGCACACTTGTGTGGGTGTCATTGAGTTTTCTAGGATTTATCTTACGGAACAAACGGAGCTCAGAGGGTGGTCTGTCCCCACTGTCTTCCGCATTGTCCAGGGGTAGAGACAAGGCAGGACCGGAGAGCAGCAGCCTAGCTTCCGAGGATGAGGAAGAAAAGACGCACCCGGACTATGACAAGGAGCTCGAGACACTGTGTGAGGAGCTGCAGGCCACTTTGGAGGGTCTGGTAAGGCCTAGAGACACCGACCATCTGTGGTCACTGTCACCGAGGCTGATGGACCTGCCTGGGGTTTGCTTAAATGTTGGTGCATTCGGCATCATCACGACCCTTGCCTTCCCCAGCCTCCCCCAGGGTCTCTTCCTCTCTGCACCCACACATCGTTTTCTTTCCTTTTTTGGTGGTTCTGGGAGGCCGGCCTTGAACTCACAGTGATCCCCCTGCCTCAGCCTCCCAGAGTGCTTGGATTACAAATGTGCACCACTATATATGGCCACCCACAAATCGCTGTCCTAGATGCTTCCTCCTTCTGCCCTGGGCAATGTCCAGGCCACTCTCACTACTGCTAGGGTCACAAAGTAAAGGATTTGAAAGCTAAAATGTGAGGCAGCTTGGAAATTTGGGACGCAGGGCTCGGCAGGCTCTCCCCTCCTCAGCACCCCGAGCCCAGGCTCAGGCGCAGAGCCATGCAGAGGCCCAAGTCCCGTGCCTGCCCGGCCCCTCCCCTCGCCCCAGACACGTGCTTATATAGCAGTTTTAACCTCAACAGGCGTGGAAATCTTGATGTTATTGAATCTGAGACTGGAAATTTCAAATAATATCCTTACATTCAAATTAACATCTTTCAGACCAAAATACAGGTGAAAATGGAAAAGCTGTCTTCAACCACCAAGGGAGTTTGGGAGCTAGAAAATTACCACTACGGAGAGGAGAGCAGCCGGCCCCCTCTGTTCCACACCTGGCCCACAGTCTACTTTTGTAAGTAGCCCCTTGGAGCTGATGTTTGGGAGGACAGGAGTTAGAAGAGCATTCAGTGTCATTTAGATCGGGGACTTAGGAAAGGAGACAGAGGCTGCTTAAACACTTCCTCCGCCAGGCATTTGGCACATGCCTGTAATCCCAGCACTCGGGAGGCCAGCCTGGGCTACAGAGTGAGACCCCCGTCTCAAAAAATAAAAACAAACAAAAAAAACAGGTGGAGCTCAGCGTGGCTCCAGGCCAACCTGTGCCCGGTGTTTCCCCTCGCTCTGCGTGTTTCAGATGAGGTTGCACACAAGCTCTCCGACATGTACACCCGGGAGCTGCTCCTGAAGCGCACAGTGGGCGCCGAGCTGGCCCACGCCTCAGACCGAGACCTGATCCTCAGCTACCTGTCCATGTGGCTGCACCAGCCCTACTTGGAGCGGGACAGCGGGCTGCTCCTGGAGAGCATGCTGCTGGAGACGGGCCACCGCACACTGTGAGCTCGGACCCTGCCTCTCGCTCTGCCTGAGCCGCCGCTGGCCGTGTGGGGTGCGGTCCCGGCAGCAGCCTCAGGCGCCCTGACCCCGCCGCAGCCTCTGCTGTGTCATCACGCCTGCTGGAAGCTGCCGCCCAGGAACCCTCTCGGGCAGAACTGTGCCTCAGACGGGGAGAATCTCACTGGTGGCGCTGAGTGTACACTCGTGGAAACCTATCCCTTCACAGCTTCACTGTATCCCTACCTATATTTAAATCTCCATGAGAATATATCAGTTTTGTAACCACAAGCAACGTGAAGTCCCGCAGAGTTTGCATGGTGGAATGAGAACCACCTCCCCACAATCGTCACGGTGTGCGCGCTGAGGGGGTGACAGGCCGGCGAGGAGCGCACGTTCCCTGCGGCTCACGTCCTGTGCGGCCCTGCGCTGACACTGAGAATAAACACGGCTCGAGGGGCTGGGGATTTAGCTCAGCGGCAAAAGCGCCTGCCTGGCAAGCGCAAGGTCATGAGTTCAGTTCCCGGTACTGGAGAAAAACCAAAAAATAAAAAAATAAAAAATAAACATGGCTTGGGGCTGGGGATGGAACCAGAGCGCTGAGCATCTGAGCAAAGGATCCCACTGAGCAAAGCCTCAGCCCCTTTGAAGTGAGATTTTGTGCCGTTTGAGCTTTCTGACTTTAGCCATAAACATGCTGCTTAGCTAAGTTTATCAAGACCTTTCTTGGTGGTACTAGGGGTTGAACTCAGAGACGCTCTACCACAGAGTTACGTCCTGAGGCCTTTTTATTGTGTCAGAGTCTCAGTAGGCTGCCCAGGCTGGCCTGGGACATGTGATCTTCCTGCCTCAGCCTCCTGAGTAGCTGGGATGCCAGGTGTACACTACGATGCCTAGCTCATCCAGACTGATTTAACTTTAATCCACCAACTAAGGACAGTTCACAGCACTTCTTTGTCCTTTTACAGATGAGGAAACACCCAGGGCCGGGCCTGCAGGGCCCGAGGTTCTGTGCTGCTGACCAGCTGTCCTGAGCGCGCTTCCTTTGGTGCACCTGGCCTTGCTGCACCCTTGGGTGCACCCCTAGCCTCTGTCTTCTACCCCTGCCCTCCTCTTAGGCGCTCAGCCCTAACTCAGCACAGGCCAGCCTGGGGTACGTACGGAGACTCTACCTCAAAAAAAATTAAAAAATAGAAAGGTGTGGAGATGCATCTCTGTACGAAGACCCTGGCTGCCACCCCCAGTGCTGCACGGCACCAAGGACAGTCGGACAGGGCCGTGGCGGATGGCACTCTTTATAAACACAGGCTCATCCCTGTCAGGGTTCACATTAGAAAAACACGCTGCCCACCAGACTCCAGATGAGACAAACAGAGACAGACGCCGCTGACACGGTCACTGCGAGGGCTCTGCCTGCACGGCGAGGGTCGTACCCGCCACCACCAGGGGCATGCCTTCCGGGTCCCCGATGTGCAGGCCAGGGCTCCCTACGCCGGTCACCAGGATAATGTTCTCCTGGGACCCTGTGGTTTCCGTGGGGGACAGGAGGACTCCGCTGGCAGTCTGCACGAAGATCTGCTCCTGAGGTAACCCCTCAGGGCACCCATTCGTGATTTCAAAAGCCACAGCATCCCCGACAGCAGTCACACGCTGCAGGTCTCCCAGGCCACTGTGCGCCTTCCTCCCTTGGAGGAGCTGGTTTAGGTCGCTGGCGTGGCTTCCTATAGTCAGTGGCGACCCGTCTGCGCCAGTCTTGTGAGCACAGCCCACTGGCACGATGTCCACAGGCAACATCTCAGGCAGGGGGGAAGTGGGCCTGGCACCCAGGTTCCCTGGCTCTGCACCCGCAGCCTCTCCCATTGGTGACAGGGCGCTGCAGACTCCCGAGCTCCCCTGGGCAGGTCTGGTGTCTGGAACAGTCTCTTGGGCCTCACCTAGCTGGGCACAGAGAGCTGCTCCACGGCTGTCCCCACCCAGGACAGCAGGGCCTGCTGACCCATGCCTGGCTTCCAAGTCAGCCGATGCCTTGAGCTGCCCGCCTGCATGCGACACACTTGCGTCACCACTGGAAACTGTCATCCCGTGGCTGCCTTCAGAAGGGGGAGGGGTGGGCCCACTTGCTGGAGGAGCAAAACCTAAACAGATCAGAAAAACAGGTGAGCATCTGCGTTGTGTAACAGCCCATTCACCCACTCAGAACAAGCTGGTCCAGACCAGCTTTCATCTATTCACAAAGGTGGACTGTGTCTTAGAAATGCGTCCTGCCCACCTTCCTGGGGCAGTTCTGAGCTCCTGTATCACTTGGAGACCTCAGCCCAGGCAGGGGACCGGGGCCTTGACAAGGCCACAAAGGCGTGGAGGCCATGGCAAGCGCCAGATGTGCACAGGGCCTGGCCACAGGGTCTCTTGGCCAGAGGAGAAGCCAGGAGGCGTCTTGTTTTTCTGTCACACTCGGCTGCCAGAGCCAGGTCTCCTGAAAGCCGCACTATCGACTCCGTGTCCTTGGGGGTCTTCTCTGCCCACCTCTGAGGGCCCTTGGGTAGAGTCTGCCCCCCACCACCAGGTGACCCCCCTTGGTGAGGGAACGCTGAAGGCCTGAGGGCTCAGGGCTGAACCCTGAACAGGGCTCGCCACCCCGTAAAGTGGCAGCCGACGGCAGCGTGTGCAGCCTTACCCCCGCCGGCAGTGGGCACACACAGCCTGGGACTCTGCAGGCCTCCCCCGTGGGCAGCAGGGCACTCCGGGCCGCCCCTGGGCAGAGCTGCTCGCCAGGCCCTCTGCGCTTCAGGCACTTGCTGTGTGGCCTGTGGAGAGAGGCCGCTGAGACCAGACCCACCACAGCCCCGCTCTGTCCCTCAGGAGACCACGGGGACCCCAACACCAAACCACAGGCACCTGCCGCTCACAGCCGCCCACCTCACACGCCCCCAGCCAACCGCTGGCTTCCGCAGGCCTCTGCCCGGGCCCCTCTGCACTGTGGCACCGGCTTGCAGCGCAGTCTGGGTGTGCTTCTGTCCTCCTCAGAAAGCCTGTGATTCCGAGGGACTGGGCAACCTGAGGAGAAAGGGCCGGTAGACGTGAACCTGGACGGCTGGGGCGCGCCGCACGTGGGCCCCGGCACTCGGGAGGAGTGAGCCTCCGCTGGGGCGGGCCGTGAATTTAGGCCAGCCTGGACCACGTCTAAGGTTCTGTCTCAAAAAGCGAACAACAAAGCCAACAAAGCTTGAGGCTGGCCGAGGCAATTTAGCAACCCACCAAGACCCCTTCTCAAAGAAAAAGTGCTGGAAGTGGAGCTCAGCACACGGGCTTTGGGTCCAGCGCCAGTACTGAAGAAACAGCAGCAGCAAAACCCCCCGGGGAACACCTGCTGGCCATGCGCCCGCTCCCACCTGTGGCAGAAACGGCGCGGGCGTCAGCCCCTGGCAGAGGGAACCGTAACCATTACCTGCATTTCAGATACTTTAGGTCAAGCGCTTAGCATTTTTATATTAAAGAAACCAGAATTTCACTTGAAGGGGAAAAAACAAGAACGGTGACGGCGAGCACCGCTACAGCAGCGCCCCCTTCGCGCCCCCCAGCTCCCTGGGCAGCACCTCTTCCCGAGCGGGTGTCACCTGAGGGTCGCTGACTTCCAGGGGCTCCTGAGAAGCCGGGCCAGCATGGCCGAGGTGCTCCTGACACATGCTCTTGACCCTGCCGTGCAGCTCTTCGAACTCCCTGTACACGGCCGGGAAGCGGGGCTGCGCGGCGCCGCTGTCCTTGGCCTTTGTGAGGACAGGAAACGAGGAGTGTTCACACCTGCAGCAGTGACACCGGACACCCGGGCAAAGGAACGCGGAACACGGGTCCCTGCACCCACGGGCGTGGCCCTGACAGGGAGCCCTGTGCCCAGGGGCCCTGCCGTGTGCCCGGTGACAGCGGGAGACAGCCAGCCAGGGCAGCCACCACGCGGCAGCCATGGGCAGAGAGGCAGAGGCTTCAGCGGGGGTGGCCTGGGGTGGAATGGCCCGGGAGGCTGGACTGGCTGCAGGGCAGGCAGGCTTGGCCGCAGGGGAGGCTCCCCAACAGGGACTTGGCCCAGGGTGTGAGAGGCGCCTCCCTCGCCCTGCTGCAGGCTCCGTCCTGGAGAAGCAGCGCAGCCCCGGCAACACCACACCCTGGCCTCGCAGTTAGAGACCCTCGAAGACTCACCTTCTCCAGGAGAAACTCGTATACAGTCAGCACCTGTGCCAGCCGGGGCAGCGCCAGCTCCACCAGGTCCTCCTGGCCACACTGCTGGAGTGACTGCCAAAGAAAGCATTCACCGCCTTCAGGGTGCAAAACAAACCTCCCCCAAACTCAGGGACTCAACGCAAAGCATTCTGGTCTGGCACAGCAGATGGGGGCGAGGGTGAGGGCCCAGCTGAGGGCTCAGCGGCCATCCGCATGGGCGGGGTGAGGGAGGCAGACAGTGACACAAATCGGACACGCAAGTAAAGTCCGCACGGTTTCACTGGTGTGAGACACCGAAAGTGTAGACAGGGACCAAAATGTATGGCAGACACTGGGAAATGGGAAGAAAATGTTCAAATGGGAAGAGGGAAGGGAGAGAGACAAGGGAAGAGGGAGGGGGAGAGGAAGGGACAAGAAAAGTAAAAGAGAATAGAAGGAAAAAATGGAAACAAAGCTTTTGTAAATGAGGGGAAGGAGGCTGAAGGGAGGGGAGGGGAATGGGAAAGAAGAACCAAGTTGTATCACGTACAGGTACAAATTCTCTATGACGAATGTGATTACTGTGTATATCAAAATGTGCCAATAAAATTTTTAAAAACTAAATATAAAAAAAGAAGAAGAGGCCAGGTGTGGTGGCGCCCACCCATCATTCCATCAGTCAGTAGGCTGAGGCAGGAGTTCAAGGCCAGCCCAGGCTGTGTAGCCAGTTCAAGGCCAGCGGCACTGCACAGGGGGAGCCCTTTACAACACAGCGGGGTGGGAAGTCAGCTGGGGGCCCCTGCGATGTGGACGGGCTCCCGGCAGCCCGGCACGGGCAAGTCTGGAATAAGTGAGCAGAGCTCCAGAGGGGCTAGCCCGTAAGTGCAGCATGGAGCCTGCAGTGGCAGAGGCCTAAGAAGCCAGGTGTGGAGTGAGGTCCCCCAGGACGCCTTGCAGACAGGCACAGGGAGGTTACAAGACCTGGCTCAGAACAGCAGGGCTGTGCCACCTTGAGCACACTGCACTTCTGTGCCCAGTGGACGGTCTTTATGGGCACCAGCAGATCCGTGAATCCACGTGCACTTCCAGGGAAATCCTCCCTGCGTGTGGACGGCGGCCTCTGCCGCTCCGGAGGGCAGGCGGCGGCTGTGGTCACGCTGTCAGGGTCACCATCATAGAGCCACTCGTGTACAGCGGCCACCTCTTCCCACCGCACAGCCTCGTTCCCAATTCCAGGCCCATCTGCCACTGTCGAGGCCTCCCTGCACAGCTGTCTCCCTCTGCCAGCGGGGACAGCGGCCGCTGTGGGATCCAAGACCCGGGGTCTGCCTGGAGTTTGGCGTGGAGCCTCGGGGTGGGGCAGCTGAGCTGCCAGACAGGAAGTGCGAAATCCTGGCACTGTTTTCAACATCAGCCAGGGATGCGAGGCAAAGGCCACCCGTCACCCCTGCTGCAATGGGGTCCCCAAGAATGTCACCTGTGCCTGGGACTGAGCAAGCTGAGCCCCCAGGCTTCCCTGCGGGTGTGGCGGGCAGCACTGCATGGGGCTCAAGAGACTCTTAGGAAACCACTTCCTCTCAGAAACCGCTTCTTCCGCCTGCCCTCTCCCGCCCTCCCCGCGCTCTGCTCTGCGCTCCTCTCAGGATCCACTTGGCAAGAGCAGGAGCTGGAGAGCACTTGCCTGGCGTGCACAAGGCCCTGGCCTCCATCCAATGCTGCAGTGAATAAGAAGAGATACTCCCCTGGCCATGACCAGGCAGACAGCCTCACCAGACGCTTTGAATATACTTAGGGTTCCACTCTTCCGGCCAATCCAGTTTAAATTGTTGTTTGTTTTTTTTTTAAGATCTCACTGTGTAGCCCAGGTTGGCCTCAAAAGCAATCCTGCCTCAGCCTCCCAAGTGCTGGGATTACAGGCATGTACCACCACACCCAGCATCCAGTTAAATTTAACAAATCTACTTTTGTAGATAATTGAAATGGAGATTAGAGGGTTGTAAACCTAAAACATGTTTTGTAAACCTTGAAGCTTTTTACAGAAAAGGCAAAAAGCCCTTTCTGTTTTCTAAACTGCTTCCCTGTAAACACAGGTCACAACCACCCCAAACTCACAAATGCAAGCAGCTCCTGGAGCCACAGGGTCGGCCCTATGGTCATTTTACTTTTTTTTTATGGTCATTTTAAACAGGTAAATGTACACCTTACATCAGATAATACTATGTAGCCCAGGATGGCCTTAAACTCACGAAGATCTTCCTGCCTCAGCCTCCAGAGTGCTGGGATGACAGGCGTGCGGCACCACGCCTGGGTGTCTGGCAGCTTGCTTGAAATTCAGAGAGCTAACACTGAACTGCTACATACCACACCAAAGAAGCTCCACGGTATAAGTGCCACAGTGTAAGAGCCACGCACCTCCTGGAGCCGGGCTCTGCTCCTGCAGGCGCTCAGCTGGGTTGTCCTGCTCCACGGGGCGACGGCTGCCCTGCACCCTGCTGGGCCCTCGGCGTCTCCACACTGCAACCCCGCAGCCGAGTGACCTGTATTTTCTGGCTCCAGCACCATCGCCTCTTCGTCTTCTGCACACTGGTGTTTCACACCCAAAGAAAACAGAATGAGAACCACACTCTGTACGCTGCCAGGAAAGCCTTAACACAGAAATGCGTCAAGGCAAGAACTTGCTTTTCCGGTTTGGCCATACTGACAACTGAACCAAGCACTCTATTACTGAGCTGCATCCCCAACCCTGTCTATGTTTATTTTGAGACAGGGTCTCACTAAATTGCCCAGTTTGGCTTCAAACCTATGACTTTCCTGCCTCAGCCTCCAAGAATGGAATTCCACACATGTGCCACACCTGGCCAGTTATTTCTTCTTCCATCAAGACTAACTACAATCAGTACACCTCAGACTCCCAGCACTGTCCCCTTCTGGGCAACGGGTGACTATTTCCCAGCCAGCAAGTCTCGCCTACAAACTATCACCCCAGGGTGCTGATTAAAGTGAAATAAGAATTTCTCTGATGTGACCATCATCTTAAAAACTAACCCAGCTTCTGAGTAGTGAAGCACATTTATAATTCTACACTTGGCAGGCTGAGGTGGGGAACTGCCAGAGTTCAGGGCCAGCCTGGGCTACCTAGTGAGTTCAAGGCCAGCCTGCACTCTATAGCAAGGCCCTCTCTCAAAAAACAAAAAAAAAATTAAGCTGGTGACTGGAGGTGTAGCTCAGTTAGAATACACCCTTAATAGGCACAAGGCCCAGGAACTAACCTCACACCTGTAGTCCCAGCATCATGGGAGGCTGAGGCAGGGGGATCACAAGTTCAAGCCCTGCCAGGGCAATGTAGTGAGACCCTGTCTCAGAATAAAAAATAAAAGAAGTGCTGGGCATGTGGGTCAATGCAAAGACCCTGGGTTCCACTCACAGTACTGACAGGGGCAGAGGGGGGAACCACTAGCCAGCCCTTCTGCAGTTCACAAACATGACTGAGTTTTCACGCCATCGTGTGAGGCACTTTTTTCCCCAAGCTCTCATTGGTATGTTACTTGTCTGATGTGTAAAAAAATGTCCTTAACACACAATTGAACAAAAAGGCAGCTCTCAGAATGAGGGAAAATACTTGCGATCAAACACCTTGTAAGGGATTAATATCTAGAATAAGCAGCCAAAATTCAGCAACAGCTGCCTGTGGTGGCACACGTCTGTAATCCCAGCACTCAAGAGTCTGAGGCAGGAGGATCGCGTGGAGTTTGATGCCAGCCTGGGCCACACAGTGAGTTCAAGGGCAGCCTGAACTGCATAGTGAGACCGTGTCCCAAAAAACAAAAACAAAAACAAAAAACAACAATGAAGAACCTTTTTTTTTTTTGCTTTCTTTTTGGTTTTTTGAAACAAGGTCTCACTATGTAGTTCAGGCTGCCCTTGAACTCACTATGTAGTCCAGGCTGGCTTGAAACGCAAAGTGATCATCCTGCCTCAGCCTCCCAAATGCTGGGATTACAGGTGTGTGCCACCACTCCTGGCTAACATCTTTTAATCATTAAAAAAATTGGGCAACACTGTTGCCATGGTGACATAAACATGGAGTGACTAAGGAGGCCGTGGTACTGGCAGCCTGGAAGTGGCTGAACAGGCAGAGGACGCGCTGAGCTCAGCATCGAATCCTGTCCGTGCCCCGGGAGCCCTCCTGCAGGCTGCCACCCCGACTGTGACGCGCAGGTGCCCCGTGTCCCACAACACGGTGTCAGCCAGGAATGCACCTCCCTCCGCCTTCCTGACCAGGTCTAAAGAGCTGGCGGCTGCGTGCTCATCGCATGCCAACCACTGAGGCCAGGCCAGAGGACACCTAGCTCCCACTCTGTTTGGCCCTGGCCCCCACAGTGATGACCTGGCCCTACACCCCCATCAGGGTTCATTTAAGGACGGGGGGCAGGAAGGAGAGGGACAGGGCACTGTCACCAGGCAGAAACATTACCTGCAGGCCACCCTGTGCTGCCTCTGCCCTGTCCCGGCCGGGTGCAGCTGGTGTGGACGGCTCGGGTGTGCACAGCTTCCATGGGGCCAGGCCCCCAGTGCCAGCCTCCGTGTGCCCCTTCTCCGGCAATGCTGCAGACTGCAGCCGGCCATGGCCTGGGTTCAGCTTCCAGTGCCGGGCCAGCCCACCTGGCCCAATGTAGGCCTTGTCGCAGGCCTGGCAGCGGAAGGCCCGGGGCCGCAGGGCACAGCTGGCCGCGGCGAACAGCACCTGCGGGTCCTGCTGCTCCTCCTCCTCCCCCATGCTCAGCTCCGAGTAGTCGTCCGAGTCTGACGGCCGCCCAGCCACCAGGTCCTCCGTCCTGATGAATTTGTAATCTCTGGCTTTGTGCTTTGGAGGCCGGGATATCCGTCCAGAGCGTGTTTTCACCTTCAGGGTCTTTTTGAGCTTCTCGGCAGGCTCTGTTCTCCAGCCAGACGGAGATGAACGTGACGAGCCTGACACAGCAGGTGTCGCTGCGGGCAGGTCAGAGGCCGTCGGAGGGGTCGGCCTGGTGCCCTGGCCGCTCAGGACAGGCGCGGCCTTCACCCTCTTTGTGGGCACGGGTCCCCGAGGTGCCAGAGGCTGCACCCTGAGCCCCACCGGGCCGGGCCGGCTCCCAGGCAGCGGGCTCTGTCCTGCTGTCTGGGGTTGGCTGGTGGCCAGCAGGGACACTGGCTTCTCCTGCCCTTTCACATCTCCAGATGTCACCTTGACACAAATGGCTTCTAGGTGCTTCAACACAGAAAGAGGAAAATGGGAGAGAGAGAAAAGCAGCGTTACGCCACCAATGCTTCTGCAATTTACCCTCACGGCAAATCCACGACAGAAATTTCTATAATTATGTCTACTGTTAATAACACTGCTTTTCTTTTTGTCTGCTTGTTTGTTTTGAGACAGGGTATTCCAGGCTGGCCTAGAACTCACAGTGATCTTCCTGCTTCACCCTCCCACATGCTAGGATTACAGGTGTGTGCCACTGTGCCCAGCTAGACTGTTGTTTTTCAAACCTTTCTGACCAGAGAGCATAGAATAGGTATTACATTCAACCAGTACACATGCGCTGAAACATCTGCAGATATGAACGAAATAAAAAATTTATGAACTCCAGGTGCAGTGGTTTTGGCCTGTAATCCCAGCATTCTAAAAAGTTGAGGCAGGAAGATCACCCATTTGGTTTTTTTTGGTTCTTTTTTTTTTTGTGATACCAGGGATCAAACTCATGACCTTGAGCTTGCCAGGCAGGTGCTTATGCCACTGAGCTATATCCCCAGCCCCAAGACCACCCATTTGATCCCAGCCTGGGCAATTAAGCAAGCCTCTGTCTCCAAAAAATTAAATTTAAAAAGGGCTAGGGATGGAGCTCAGTGAGGAGGCCATGGGTTCAAACCCCAGTGCAAGAAAAAACCAGCTACTATCTATGAAACCAACCTCATGACTTCTTAAGAAACAGCAGCCTGCTTTAGTTTACCCAAGTGTTTTCATTCATAGTTCACAGTACTGCACTCTAAGTTGGACTCAACTCAATATGTGAGCTCATTGTAAAGTTTCTTTTCTGAGCCGGGGATATAGCTCAGCGGCACAAGTGCCTGCCTGGCAAGCATAAGGTCTTGAGTTCGATTCCCGGTGCCAAAGGTGGGGGGGGGAACATAACAAACCTTGACACTTCAGGTACCAGCTGCAAGGTAAGTGCAACTTAGTCAGACAGTGGTGTTAGCCAGGTGTGGTGGCATACACCTGTAGTCCCAGCACTTGGGAGGCTGAGGCAGGAGGATCGCTTCGAATTCAAGACCAGCCTGGGCTACAAAGTGAGCTCAAGGCAGCCCGAACTGCATAGGGAGACCCTGTCTCAAAAAAGACAAAAAACTAATTTAATAAATAAAGTTTTTTTCTTTCAATACTGGGGAATTTTTTTTTTTAAGCTTTCTCACTGTGCTATATCTCCAGTCCTTTTTATTTTTTTGTGAGACAGGGTCTTGCTAAATTACCCATTCTGGGCTTGAATTTGCAGCCTCCCAGAGTGCTGCTCAGCCTCCCAGAGTGCTGCTATTCTAAGCACGCACCACTATGCCCAGGGCCAAAAAAAACAGTATCTAATGAAAGTCTGGGGAATGGGGGCTCAGGATAAATTTTGGAAACCAAAAAAGCCAGGAAGAACAAGCTAACTACCTGACCCAGCCTGTGACAGGCACCAGGAGCGGCTGGTAACGCCCTCTGATGTTCCCCAGCCTGTGTACCTCTTTCTCCAAGCCTGAATGGGCTGTTGACATTACTGTGTGTTTTAAAATTTATACTGCACAGGGACATCCCTACAACTACTGTTCCACTTGGATGTGCTTCAAACTTTATACAAAGGAGACCATCTCCCGAAACTCTCCGGGCATCTTTATTCCTGACTTTGCCCTGAGAAATGCACCCTCATCTGGCTGCAGCACTGGTGGCTCCTTTCTTTGCAGCATTCAGCAGGGAGCATTCTTTTTTTTTTTTTTTTTTTTTTTCCAGTACCAGGAATCGAACTCATGACCGGCACTTGCCAAGCAGGCGCTGTGCCGCTGAGCTAAATCCCCAGCCCCCAGCAGACAGCATTCTCCTGCTGGAGCAGCCAACTGCTAACCCTGTTCTGATGGTGTGCTCTGCACCTTGCAGGTGTGTGCACACACACGTGTGACTTTCTCCAGGAACATATGCTGAAGAGGGGGGCTGTAGAGCCGGGCATGACGGCACACACCTGTAATCCCAGCACTCAGGAGGCTGAGGCAGAAGGATCATTGTGAGTTTGAGGTCAGCCTGGGCTACAAAGTGAGCTCAAGGCCAGCCTGAACTGCATAGCAAGACCCTGTCTCAAAAAGATTTAAAAAAAAAAAAAAAGAGTGGGGCTGCCTATGTCCAATTTTTTTTAAAAAAATATCTAGCTAGGTATAGTGGCATTTGCCTATAGTCTCAGCAATCTGGGAGGCTGAGGCAGAAGGATCATAAATTCAAGCCTGGCCTGGGCAACTTCAAGACTCAGCAAGACTGTTTCAAAATAAAATAAAATAAAAGAGCTCAGTATGCTGCTCAGTGTGAAGACCTGGACTCAAGCACTGCTATTTAAGCTATATCTCCAGCCCCCAAATTTTAAATGCATACACTTTTTGACCTAGGAATTCCACTTTTTGGATTCCTTAAAAAGTACTTATGCCAGCCATGGAAGTACACCCCTATAATCTCAGTCAGCACTTGAGGCTGAGGCAGGAGATCACCATGAGTTTGAAGGTAGCCTGGATACATAGTGAGCTCAACGCCAGGGAGAATTACATGGTAAGACCTTGTCTCCAAAAAACAAAAACCAAAAGGCAAAAGAACAAAAAACACAAGTGCAGTCAGAGGAGGAATGGCCAAGGGGCGGCAGGTTTCCCAGAAGAGCTGACCTCTGGCTGCAGAGTCCTTGCCAGGGGAGACGGGGCACTCTAGGTGTCCAGGTATAAGCAACCCACCAGCCAGCGCAGGCTGCGGGGCGAAGGGGCCAGGTGTTGGGGGAAATGTTCCTGTGGGGCAGGAACTGGGGAGACAGAAAAGTGACCCCCATGCCTCTGACACACTGGGCCCACGCTGAGCACTGCGTACCCACCCTGGAGCCCAGCCTCTCCTTTCCTGCAGTCTTAGTTCAAACTCACCCTCTGCACCTTATTCAACGGCCCCCTCTCCACGAGGCCACGGAGCCCTCACCGGACAGCCGCGCCCTTTCTTTAAAGGCGGCTAGCCCTTCACCCACATCTCCAGCGGCCTGACCTCAGTTAGAGCTATCTAGGTCAGCCTTTACTTCGTGTCCACAGCTTCCCTAAAGACAAGTGCGGGTCTGCTCTGCCTTGTGGCCTAGTGACAGCCCGGAGGCTGACAGCTCATTAGCAGAATGGACCTCAAAGGGACATTACTGGGAGAGCAGGTGGAACTCACTCCACTCGCCATTAGCCTGGCTGCAGAGGACAATCCCGTCACGCAGCCCGACCTGGATTAGGTCTGTTTCTACTTGATGGGAGTATGTTCTTGCAGAAAGCTTTCTGAAGATGCCTCAGCAAATGCAAGAAGACATGGCCATGGGTATGATGCACACAAAGGTGCCAGAGTACCGCCACACCTGTAGCGCCTTGGGCAGAGCTATTCAACCTCCGTGAGATTCTTCCCCACCTGGAAAATGCTGATACAAAAACACCACTGACCGCTGGGAACTAAGTGTGCAGCCTCAGTGGCTGGCCAAGGGGCTCTGCAAACAGCAGCAGCCACTGGGGGACACGCTGCAGTCTTCTGACCAGGCCTGGCTGTGCACAGGGCAAGGCGCCCGGCTTGAGGCGTAGAGCCACCCCCCGCGGGTGAGGTGGAATCGCCGAGGTGACCCCCCCAGCAAGTGCAGCACTGGGGCAGAATCGTCTGTCTCTCCAGACTTTTACGAGACACTTGTTCAATCTTTTTTTTTCCATTTCATAGTACTGAGGGTTGAACCCTGGGCCTTTCCACTGAACTGCATCCTCAGTCCTTTTTACTTTGCAATAGGGTCTCACTAAGTTACCCAGGCTGGGCTCAAACTTGTGGAGAATGCTGGGATGGCAGCACGCACCACCATGCCTGGGCAGCTCTCAAATCTTGATGGGCAACTGAGTCCAAGCCTATACCGCCAAAATCACTCAGGCAATATCCTACTTCTTCCAGGGGAAGTGTTCTGTTGGCGGTGATTTTTTATTTGTTTTTGCAGTACTGGGGGGTTGAACACAAGACCTTTGCACTAAACTACATCTTCAACTCTTCTTTTAGGTTTTGTTTCGTGTTTTTTGTTTTTTGTTTTTAGACAGGTTCTTCCTAAGTCACTAAGTTGCCCAGACTTGGCTGGAACTTGTGATCCTCCTGCCTCAGCCTCCCAGAGTGCTGGGATGACAGGCCTTTGGCAGCATTAGGATAAGAAGCCTTTTGTCATTTATGAGGGTCGTGATCTCAACTGATGTGTAGGACCTCCAGCTTCAGAGACCACTCTCTAGTGCCAACTACCCCAGGAAGGATAGCCCCTGAGGGCGGATGCTGTAGCAGAGTGCGTTCACATGTCGAGTGCTCTAAGCTGTACCGTGCTCCATGCCGGGCACTGGGGTCACGCAGGGTGCCGCTCCTGCTAACTTCTGAAAGATGTGCTTGACTTTGTCCTGGGTCTGCCTGGGCACCTGCTGCGCTTCGCATCCCACGCGCTCTGCGTGGGTTCCTTTAATGCATCCAGGTTTCAGCTGCAGGGTCGGGCCC